TAAATAAATAAAGTAACACGTGTTAACGTTTTTCTTGAGACAGGACAAACCAGCTGATCAAAACAAGCAAGACACGAAAAAGGCATCACTAAAAGGTTACGGACTGTCAGATTTTTATCGAGCGGTATGACTTCTTTTCTTCTTTTGTTCATTTTAGTTGTGGTCTTTTGGTTTCCAGAAGAGCTTAAGGCAAGATAGAATTTAAGAAAGAAAAAAGGATGGCTTCTTGAGGATTTTGGTTTAAGATGAAAAGACAATACCTTTGCTAAAAGCGGTGTTGATCAACTAGATGCATGTTTTTGAACAACTAGTATACGCCGATTAGTTTAACTTCTATTTTATAATTTTCAAAATTCCGAAACCATTCCAGAATCTTGCTATCATGTTACGAAAAAGGAATTTCAAGGGACGCCAACGCTTTTTAATGATCTTCAAAGGCAATAGGGAAAATGCCAATAATAGAAGTCTTTTTCCCTTGATGTGCAGATGATGACATTATCGATCCTACACTCCTATGCTTGCCCTAGGAAATCCTTCCGTGACCTTTTCCCTGGTACTCGACCCACGCAACCAAGGAAAAAGGAAACAAAAACAAGGATAGGGAATCTTCTTGTGGTAGCAGTGCTTGTTGCTGGTGTGACCTTTGCGGGTGCTATTCAATTACCACAATTAAGGGGTAACTTTAACTCAAGTGAACATCATCATGAATTTCACAGCAGTAATATTACTGCCTCCCACAAGATCAGTACTACCTCTTACAGTCCTACTGATTATGAGGGGCTTCTGTATGGCTATTTATCTTGCAATGTTTGGGCTTTCTCTTTCTCTCTGGTGGCCTCTCTAAGCCTTCTTATGGCAAACTTTAGTGATCCCAATTATGAAATCATTGCGGTTGGACTTTCAGTCTTCATGGTTGGTTCGGCTATTCTCGTGATGTTCGCGGCATTCATTTATGCTGTGATTATAGCATTACTGGCATCCCATGATGCGTGGTTAAACAACACCATTACAGTGGAGGCCTTTACGGGTTTCTATGCTCTGGTTTACATTTTTATTCCTTGGATTCTTCCAAATCTTCAAGGAATGCTCTTGCATTTTTTCTACTACAAGTATTTTTTGTTTCATTTCTACACTTACGAGTGGCTGCCTTATAAAATTTACAAGAGAAAGCACAAATAACTATCCAGGATGATCTTCACCAGCAGAGAGGTCAGGATTTGTTGGATTTCCCACCTTTAAAAGGTTTAGGGATCGCTTGTGTCTCTGTCGATTGTAATAATTATTTGAATTTGAAATAACTTTCGAGTTTCCAATTGAATGCATGCGCGTTTCTAAAGTTTTTTTTTAAGCATGCATTTATTACACTCCTTCTGTTGTACAAATATTAAAAATACAAATTATGCTCATGTCACATTACTACATTTAGGCTTTATAGCACTTATTTTTATTGAAAAAAGAAAGAAAGAAAGAGCTTATATGGAAATAAAATAATGGTATAACGATAACAATTGACAATAAATGTTATGCTGAAAGATTTGCTTTTGAGAAAAAGTCTGTCCACATGTCAAATGTGAAAGCGACGAAATAATAAAAAATAATAAAATAATAAAATTTATGGAGGAAGAAAATAAGAAATAAAATTAATTAGAAAACTTTAGACACGGGTCTTTTTTCTTCTTCTTTTTTTTTTATTTTTCTTTTGGGTTTTCCTATTTATGTATTTTGACTTGCGCACAGAGTCTTAATGTACTTTGATTGGATTATAGAATTTCAGGGAAGGATATTTAGATATTAAAAATTGGTTTGACTAACAAAAAGTATGGATAAAAATATTCAATCCTCACTCAAATATTTTTATTTTTTCTCTTTTTTAATTTTTTCCCTCCTTTCTTAATTTGTACTCTCACTTTCTTTTGTTCTGATTTTTTTTACGATGAGCATTTTCTCCTTTTCTTTTCTTATTTTCTCTTCTTCTTCTTTTTTTTTTTGTTCAGTTTTTTAAATTCTTCTCCCTCGATCGCTCCAGGCGCCTAAGAATATTAAAAAACCAACAAAATATCCCAAACAGGTCAAAATTTTGTAAAATGAGGAGATTTATAAAATAATGCATTTTTTGGATTTTGGATTTCTTTAGTTGTTTTTTGATTAAATTTATATATAAAAAAATAAGTTTAAAAATAAACCACGACATTGATGGCGTGAATTTTTTAACATCCTTTAAAAGTTTAATTAAATTCTTCAATTTAATTAAATCTTTTAATTTTAATCAAATTAACTTTTAAACTCAGTTTTGCTTCAAATAAATCCTTAATTAAATTAATTAAATTTAATGTTTTTCCCATCAAAACTAATCTCTTTTGTTTAAATAATAAAAAAATAAAATGTAAAGTAAAATAATAATATAGACAAAAACATCACAAGAAAAACATTAAACATAAACAATTAATACAAAAATATGTCAATATAAAAATTTTAATTCAATAATTTTATTAATAAATATTTTCTTTTAAATAATATGATGAAATACAGGCCAAACAATCATATTTATAATAGTCTTAAATAAGAAGAAAAAAGAAAAAAATCATAATAAATTATTTTAGAAATTTATAAATTAAATAGAAAAGATAAAATTATTGAGCACATTATTTGATTTCTTAAAGAAAAATATCATTAAAAAATATTTTTCTAAACTTAATATATAAAAATAAAAATAACTAAAAACACCGTAAAAATCCTGCTGCATCAAATAATTAATTATGATTAAGGATTTCGAAGTGTTCAATCATGGTACGGGCCTATTTGAACAAATGGGGTTGGTAACTGCTTGAATCTATATATATCACTTGCATTGGTAATCTGACATATATATAATCTACTGAAAAATTAATAAATATAAATATAAATATTAACAATAACAATTATGTTGGTAAATTGCAAAGTAATTTATAAATAAAATATACTGACAAAGTAATTTATAAATGAAATATACTGAAATTTTTTTTTTATCATTATACACCGAACAAATTATAATAGAAAAAAAAATAATAAAAAAAATAAAAAATAAAATATAACTTGTCATTGTTATAGACATATTGCTGATAAAATAAACTCATTGCTAATATCTGTCGGTAAGTCATATTTGGTCTAATTATTCCATCTATTATCTGGTTCTCACCCTTTTGAATGCTATTATTTATTTATTTATTTATTATTTTTTTAATATCATCTCTCACTGTTTTATTTCATTTAATTTTTATACTAGATTTGGTCCTCATCTTCTTGATTTATTTATTTATTTAATTTTATCCCTTATTGTTTTATTTCATTTAATTTTTCTGCTAGATTTGGTTTTTGTTCTTTTGATTTCTATTTTTTTTTAAATTTTGGATAATTGAAAATTTTTCTTCAGGATTTTTTTATGGTTTGTATTATTGGGGTAACCCGATCTCGTAACCCAGGTTACAGGTTTTGAAAATTAGCTCAATTTGACTTTGATGTTTTTTAAGTTTTTAAAACAAAAACTTATTTTTTTCAATTTCTTCATTCGACATTAGGTTATCGGGCCTTCACCTTTGTGATTTTTATCATTTGTTTTCTATGGATTATCCAAATCTCATATCTCGAGTCACAAGTTAATCGAGTTAACTCAGGTTTACTTGGGTTTTTCTTGAATTTTTTTTATTGATTTATGTTCAATTTCATCTTTCATTATTTAGTTTGTTTGAGAGTTAACTTGTTTTGTTCAAAAAAATTTTATATTGGGTTATATCTATCTCACAAGCGGATTATGAGTTTGTCATGCAAACTAGAGTTAGGATTTTTATCTTTTTTAAAAATTAATTTTTCTCAATTCGTTCTTCAACATTTGATTTGTTAGTAATTAAACTTTATTATTTCTATTGTTTTAAAATATTTTTATTCTCATTTAATTTTTGTTTTGAAATAAGATCATTAATATTTTTTAAGAATATTTAGAGAGTATTTTTCATAATATTGACAAGTGTTAATTTTTTTATTAATCATTGTTTTTTGTTTTTTTTTATTATTAGGTTTTTTTATAATAATATCATTAAATTAATTGAGTTCATTCAATCTATTTAAATCAATGACTGTAATCTTAAATTCCTATAATCCTTTTTAAAATATTATCATTGCTTAAATTTTATTTTTATTATATTAGAAAAAAATTAATTACGTATGGAGCAGGCCACCAATCCGATACATACTACCTGCTATAATATCCACATTTTTATTTAAAGCATTGGTATTAAATTTGGCCTGATCGAGCATGTTAGTCCAGTGGCCTATTGCTCAGAGATCTGATTTGTGCTGGGTTTTAAATTAAACGAGTATTTCAAGTTAAAACCGAGACAACAATTTGCCCCCGCGGAACCCAAGAGCAAAATATCACCTGAAGCATGGGGAGTGAGGTCATAGTGGAGCTCCAAAGAAACTCGACCAACTGGGCCAACGTTGTGGGAGAGATTGTGAAGATAGAAAGAAAGATCTTCCCGAAACATGAATCACTTGCTAAATCATTTGATGAAGAGCTTAGAAAGAAGAATTCGGGGCTTCTATATACTGAACTAAATGGAGAAGTTGCTGGCTATGCCATGTATTCCTGGCCCTCTTCTTTGTGTGCTTCTATCACAAAACTTGCAGGTTTTAATACCTTTACTTATTTCTTCCTCTCTCTTCATTGTTTTCCGGTTATATTTTTCTCCTTTTGCTGTTTAACAAACCCATAACCTGTTTGATGAAAGTACTCAAAGAGCCATGGTTTCCTTTTCTCTGAATAGAGTGATTGATTAGGCAAAACCCACTAAAATCAATTTGTATGACTTCTTATTCTTGTTATCTGATTGGCTAGGACTTGATTTCTTTTCTTTGTAAATGGCAAGTATAAAACAGTGAAGGAGAACTATAGAAGGCAAGGCCATGGAGAGGCATTGCTTAAAGCAGCAATTGAGAAATGCAAAAAGAGAAAGGTTCAACGTATATCACTACACGTTGATCCCCTGAGGACTGCAGCTATGACTCTATACAAAAAACTTGGTTTTCAAGTTGATAGTTTGGTAGAAGGTTATTACTCTTCAGACAGAAATGCTTATAGAATGTACTTGGATTCTGAATCTGACTAGTTTGTAATACAGCTTGAAATTGACACGGATATCACTATATCAGTAATTTCTCCTTCCAGTACAAGTAGGAGAGGTCAAGCATGTTGTCGCCCAATGAATAATAGGGTTTCAGTTTTCCTGCTCTTTTATTTAGCTTTAGCTTGAATGCTTAGATGTCTCGGGTGCTTATTTGTGTGATTCAGTGGGCTGAGCACCTGCTTCCCAAATGAGTTCTCCCTCCTTTCAATAATGAAATTTCTTGTGATTAAAACTTTTTTGACCCCGAAACAATATTTTTACTGTTTATGCTTATTTTAATGTGTCATTTTAATTTTTTGAATTAATGTATTCACTATCTACTCTATTAACTCTACTAAAAGAACTTTCTTTATGTAAATATAAATATTCTTCATGTAAATATCAACAGTGAAGGAGATTTTTTTAATTTCTATCTTTTGATTAATTTTTTTAGTTTTTTTAATTCAATTTTATCCTTTAATATTATATTAATTTTAAATCAAACTTAATAATTTGTTCAGTTTTCTTTTTATAAAATTATTATAGTTTCAAACAAACATCATGATATTTAGTTGGTATTTAACTTTATGAGTATCTATTTTTGTTATTATATCATTATGTAAAAAAAAATAATTGAAAGAAAAAACAAATTTGTTAAACCCAATGGAATCCATAACTTAGATTGCAGGTTTGGCGGGTTAAGTCGTGAATCCCAAATTAATTCAATATATCACTATCTCAGTATTAAAACAAATATCTTCTTAAAAAAAAATTAGGTCTTATTTGGCTAGTTTTGTTTTAAATCTTAATGTCCTCTTGTGTTCTTCCATAACCGTTTCATCAGGTCAATTTTCATTTCCAAGATTTCTCTCTGTTTTGTTTTTGTTTGTTCTAATGCTTATTTGGTACCTTTATTAAATCCATTCTATAAGCACTTAAATTGCTTTTTTGCCAAAATTTCAACTCGGGTTTGCATAATTGAACTCACCAATACACATTGGTGAAAGGAAGAGCCTATCACCAACTACATTCATCGATGGA